CCTGTGGAGATAAAGCTGGATACAGCACTGAAGGGAGTTTAAAAGCTTGCAGCCTCTCATAGTTTAGAGAACTAAATTTCTGCAGTTGAAGAAAACCTGATGTCTATGAAATTGTGAGTTTCCGGGCTCCCAGGAAGCCATGCAGTGCCTACCATAAAATGACAGTCTGACATAAAATACTTAATAGCTGTTTAATAGCTCAGATAAAGAAAAGATGCTCCATTTTGTCTGCTGCTCTATGGAAATTTACTGAGACCACACACATAATGTGCAGTGCTGTCACATAAGAAAACACTTCCATTCTTTGCTCCTACTCAAAACATGGCAGTTAATAAAATTTTAATTTCATCCTTAACAATGAAAAAGAACACTCCTAAAGAAAGGGAGATGACCACAGCTAGATAGGCTAGCCACTGCTCTAAACAAGAGGTGCTACCGAATACATATCACATTAGTCTATGGGATGCTCAGCCCCTTCTACAATGCAGCACACACACACATGCCTCCTTCCTCTTTTCTCCACCGAGGAGCAGCACACACCTGTACTGCCAGATCACTGAGAAAATAGTGTTTGCACTCACTCAGCCACCAAGATTCTTAGTTCCATTGCTCGTGAATAGATCACATTCAGGAAAAAGTGCTTTCTGCACTCTTCTCAGCAAGAAGTGGACAAAGTATGCTCCAAAATAAGCCAATAGGTTTTTCAAATTACATTTTAAAAGTCCTCCTTAGAAACAGAGACATTGCCTCATTTACAGATGATAAAACACTTCTCTATACTTACACTCTATACTATCCACTCTTACAGGGGTGAATTCAAGAGGAGATTCTAGCCTGAAGAGAGCTTTTATCTTCTTTCAGCGGTACAGAAACACTGATGAGCAAGCGTGCTGGCACCTCCGCTATGTGAGCTCAGAAGCGCAACAGCTGGGAACGGCAGAAGAGATTGGTAGTGCAGCAAGTAGAAGACATGGTTGGTAATGCTTTTCTCCCATCCAGGCATTGCCAGGAAAGGCAGCTGTTGTATTTGGTAACTATTCCTTGTATGTTTAGTTCTAGCCTAGGGAGCATCATTAACAACTCTTCTATTCCTACAGCTTGCCTTCCCTTCAGTCCATAAAAACCAACAGGAAGGAAGACAGGGTTTTGATAATCATAGTTTGAGCTACACTTTTTGAAGCGCACAGTTCAAGCTATTTTCACAGTATGACTAGGTGCATGGTCCACAAAACATTTCATGAACGTTTATATGAACAAATTTGGTTGGCCCTTAACTGAATTCCAGTCTGATTGAATTCCAGGAACAGGAATATTTCCAGAGAGCATGTTTTAAGTCCAGACTGATAAATAATTTTAGACAATAAATGTTAGAAGGAAAATAAAATTATAACCAAATTCAATTAATCTTTATTTTGCAAAATGAAGACAAAACCAAATAAGTAAAACTTGTCAATACCACAGAGACTTGAATGAACATGAGAAAATAATCATGTTTGCAGACTTTAACATGATTAAAAGGGTAAAAAGCACGGACTGAAATCTGCTCTGTGAATGACTTGGTTTGTTTTTCATGTCATCCTGTTGTTCCTAACTCCAGATCTCATATACATGTCCTTCATGAATGGTGACATTCATTAGCAGTTCGATTACAAGATGTTACAGTAAGCCATTCCTGTGATGCTAGTTGTTACTTCCTAGGCTTTAGGCTAGAGAAAAGCAATACAGTCCACAAAAGCAGAAACTTCTCAATAGGAAGGCTGTATGACTGTCTGGGTTGGAAAATGAATCCAAACTTGCTTTCAGACCTGTGCACATGACAAATGGGATGAGAAAACGATGAAGAGAACTGAGTACATAACATACCCACTAGGTGAGCAATTCCTCTAATTTCCCAGAAGCTCCCTGCAGTAGCAAAGGCCGCTTGTCTAGTGTGACAAATGGGACCTACTTCTATTTTTGCAAGTGAAAGGCTGACACTGAGATTTAAACCATACAGAAATAAAATGCAAAGTAACCTTGAATCACAGAAAGAATCTCATGACAAACATGCATGCTCATTGTGACATATATTTTCAAGAAACTAAATTGCACACAATAGACAGCAAAATAATTTTCTCTGTAGTGCTGCATTATGGCAGCGTTTGTCTTTGTGGAGCAAATACAAAACTGGCTCTCAGATGCTTTGAAACATTAAAAAAAAGTCTTTGAACAGTCCTAGAAAACAAAACCCTAATGTGCTGAACTTCAAGCCTTAAGAACTTTGAGGCACCTGGGTCCTATTTCAGTACGCTGCTTCCTTTGAAAGCTGAATGTCAAATACAGTGTAGCTACCAGATGTAAGGTTACATCAGGTGTCACTGGACCCTAGGCAGGTTTTGACGTAACTCAAGAGGGCTGCACTGACGCCAGCAGACTGTCTCCCTGCTTACCCCAGGTCTGCCTCAGGCCCAGACAAGCAAACTGCTTGCAAGCATCATTAGGTACAACACAGAATACCACTTACTTGTATGGGATGTGTTTGCTTCCATTGACGAGGGCAAGGATGACATTGCCCAGCGCTGACAACGAGAGACAAAGGCCAGAGCTTCCCTCCCGGTTTTTGCTGAGCACTTTCACGCAGCTACCCAGGTCAATAAGGTGCAAGCGGCTGCGACCTCCAGACACTGCCATAAACAAAGCAAGCAAAGAGTTAGCACGTGCCTCCAAAAGCAGCTTCCCAGGAAAGCAAAAGAGTCCCCACGACTTGCAAAGAGGAAACAATCCTAGAGACCTTTCCTAATTCATGTTAGCAGCAGCAGACTCTAAGGGTCCTGTTAACTGACTGTCAGCCTTTATCTCCGTACATGGCTGTCCGCTCCAGACTTGCTTAAAAATTGTCAAGGTTTTCAGTACTCATCTGCTCCTGCAGGTTTAACTCTGTGGGAGTCACTACGGTGGGGTTGGGTTGGTTTTCTTAAAGGTAGCTCTATTAGCTTGTACCTGAATCAGCCCTGGTTTTGTCTCTGTGATTACTCTTCCTCTGTCTGGAAAGTCACAGGCTAGGAATTGCTGCTTGGTGAGCAGTGGTCCTGTCCTCTTTATCTTTCCCATCTCGAATACTGGATCTTCAGAAGAACCTGTGGCATTTGTGGGGCATTCAACTTTGCTTTAAGTCTATATACTTTTACGTTAACATTTGGGTTAAGAAAAGGTTCACCATGCCATGGGTAATGGATTGTTGAAAAGCTGCTCTGTTCTGAAAATACTTTCTGTAAAACTGGCAGTGGATCCCTATGTTTTTTTCTTGTTTACTCAGTATCTTCACAACTACATTTAAAGTGAAAGGGTGCTACCTTTCAAACACCAAGATTAATGGATACTTGCTCTCATTAAAAACCTATGGTTCCTTATGAGCCCAGGCATGGGGACTGTGTACACTTTACAGAAGTGTTTCTAATTCTCTATTTTCTCAGTTTCCCAGGGTTGTTTGGTTGTGGGTTTTTTTTGCATCTGATCTTTGACAGCTTCTCCCTATTCTCAATAGTTTAGAAGCAATCTGTAGGAAAACAGAGTTTTATTACTAGGATCATAACTCAAATATTAGGAGCACTGTTTGAGGACTTGAACATAAACAGGAGTGGAAATACTTTCACATCTGAGTTTACCTCTGTGCAAATAAATTCACAGCCATTTTGACACAGCACCTCAACTTAAGCATCTGGTAAAAAAAGTATTAGTGGTGGGGGAGACCAGTTCACAAGCAAAGATGATGATGGGAGCAACTACATGATGGAAACCTTAGAAAATAACTTTTTCAGATACTTTAATTGCTTTGGAAATGTCTTATCAACCACAAGGATGTTTTTTCAATGACCCTGCATTCAGTAGCTGTGGTGCCATGCCATGGTATGCAGGCATGTAGCTGCCATAGGAGACAGAAGGAAATAGGTTCACATAGATATATGAAGACATCACTGTTAAAACTTCTACATATTGGCAAAAAGGTGATATGCGATCATATAATTTTGCAGATTGGCTCATAGAAAGTCTACTATGAAAATGTATATAAATATGGAAAACATACAGCTACTAAAGACATATATAACTATTAGCTGTAACCTAAAACATCTTAACCTAAACTGAAAAAATAAGGAGAGAAATATTTAATTTTGCAAACACTGCAAAACACAGAGTTCATTGCTTATTGCTACTACCTGGTGTCTTGCATGACACAAAACTTTCTGTAAAAATATAAAGCCTTTCTGTAGAATGTATTATATATAATTCTATAATTCTGTTTCAGTTGTATGTGACAGCTAATTAAAATGAAGAGCAACAAAACTACGAGTAAATTTTTATGATAAAAGACAAAAAGAAACATGAATAAAGAGAAAGAAGAAGAGAAGGTAAGAAAATGGGAGGGAGGGAGGGAGGGAGGGAGGGAGGGAACAAACTTCTTCTGTTAGAGTGGTTTATGCTATGGGATTTGAGAATAATATTCCAAAAATATAGCCAGTATCTCTGTCAAGAGTTCTTAAAATGCAGTAACTTCTGCTTCTTATAAGCCCTGTTAGTTCTTCAGCTATATCAGGTATTAAGCAACATAGGACTTCCATGTCTTAAATTATACTGCGATATTGGTTAAGTTATACTGAGTATCACAAAACAGAAGTGAAGAACAAATGTCCGATTAAAACTAATGATGGTGGCTAGACATCCAAAACGCTGTAACAGTCCGCAGATTTTATGACAACCCATTAAACATGTCCATGGAATTTTCACCACTGTGCTCTCAGTGGTGGGGAGTGGTGGGGTATTTCTCACGGGGAAGTACCCCCATGCACCATAGGCTCCGGCACTCGCTGGAGAGAGTCAGGCTTCCCCGGGGAATGGTCCAGGCAGGTGCACTTTCACCTCCTCTGAACTGCTCATGGAGGACTTTTGCCTCCCCTCTAAGAGTCCCTAAAACTCTTAGACTTTAAGAGTCCTGGAGTCCTCTAAAACTGCTACCCTCAGAAGGCTAAAATCACCTTTTCTGAGTATCCTCCAGTGATTTCCTTAGAAAAACAAAGAAATGTGTTTAGTTCCTACTGAAAATGACTGCAGGTGACTTTAATGAATTATATATAATAAACATTTCTGTTGCTAAGATTACTGGACATTGGGGAAACGAAAAGGAAAGAAATCACTACCCTTCAAAATCTCAGTCATATTTTTTCCACACATATTTCTAGTACACAGTCTGAGGAAATCCAGAATAAGAGAAATTACCGTATCTTTCCTTCTTATTTAATTTATAGGTCAAAGTAAGACATTTTTAGGATGGCAGATCCACTTGCTTGATCTGAAAATTAAGTTATTTGTTAGGCAAGTTCTCCATATTGTGCCTGACAACTATAGAGAAACATCCTAACACTTGTTTTTGTCTATGGCCACAGAGAATTTGCAGAGCTGACAGCTGAAAAATGACTGTGCCAGTTCTGCCACAATGCCATTTATTTCAAAGGTGCTAAGCCTGCTTCATGACATTCCTGGTAATGAATCTAACAAGGAGGTAAGTACAGTACCAATGCGTTACTCTAGCAATCATTTTTTACCAAAATCATATGTTAGCCAGCCCTTTAATCTCTTACCCTTCAGAAGCTGCGTTTCTTTTTTTTTTTTTTCCCCTATCCTTTTTTAATCCTGCTTCTGGAATCTATGTATCTCTACTATCTTCACTTTTTTTTTCTGAAAAGTCCTTCATTACAGCAGGAGACAGTGATAATCACTAGGCGCCCTTTCTGAGCAGCTGGAATTCCCCCCTCATTCAATTATCAGCAAGATCTGACCCTGCCTGTCTCGTGAGGCCACTCAGATATGAGAACTTGAAGACAGGAGGTGGTTTGGCCACAAGGCAAAGGTATAACTAAGGGCAGTGGGCAAAGCATGCCATATTATAATCCAACAGGATCATGCCTTCTTTTTTGAAATGAGTCATTATAGCCACTGGAAAATATTTTTTTCCCTTTTATTAATTGCATTTGAAAATAGTAGAAAATGACTGTGTGTACATGTACTTGCATGCAGTAAAGAGCATGGAGCATTAAACTATTGTAATAATAATTCCCTCAAAATCAGCCATCTTTATTCCTATGAACCAGACTGAGCATTCACAGTCTTCCTTTCCACCGCAGGGTGGCTAATTAATAAACCTTTAGTTAATTGAGATTTCTGCCTGCCAATTCCACAGGGGTTATTACTTAAACACATGCAAACTGTATTTCCATTTAGAGCAACTTTCTGGTTTTCTCTCTTGTAAGTACAGTCAATGTAAATTTTCTGCATTCAAACATTAGACATTAATAGTGCAGTGGTGTTCACCCACTACACATCATAACTTGTAATCTATTCTTTATTACAAATAACCTATGTAGAGCCAGGAGATGAAACATATGCCATTTCTGCAGAATTGCTTAAGCCCACAAATTTAAAGAAGCAGAGGTCTCCGGTATCTTTCAAACAAACATTTTTTCCAGTAAAAAATTAGTATTTAAAAAAAGAATTTTAATGTGAAATTTTTCTTTTTTGGTAGGTGTGCTTCTTATATTATACAAATCTTTTGTCACTGGAACTTACTAAAAACACTCTGTATATCTCCAGCTATAGACAATTTGGGAGATTTGAAAAAGACGATAAATACAATAAAAAATATAAATGGTGCAAGTCAAGTTAAACCTTTTAAAATTATAGAAATGTATAAGTAGACATGGAAGCATCTTTTCCTCATTTACAAGTGGGAGATGGAAGTAAGGACACAAGCCAGTGAAAGTATCCATGGCAAACAGAGGGAGCAAGGCAATCTGAAAAGCCCAGAGCCTTTACAAAGAACCATGAGAGTCCTTTGTGCACGTGCAGTTGGGCCAGCAACTAAAATACCATGTATCTTCAAGAAAAGGTATAGTTCATGCATTGTCGGCATCAGCTATTTAGGTGCCAAAGAGGAACAGCTAATGTAAGAGTGGCAAGGAATTCCCATCGCCACAATATTTTAATCCATGACCTCAACATTATCGGTAAAGATAATACTAAAAGCCAATTTGAAAAGCACTTTTTTTTTAAATACAGAGGCTGACACAGTGCTGAGGACTAACCGTTAGCATCTGCACAACGGCAACTAAATTGGCAAGTGATGGTAACAATCCCCAGTGGCCTTTAACAGGCTTTGGTGAGTCTTTACCAGGCAGGGGGACAGTCTGCTGGTACGAATGGCCCCACCCCATGCTGAATGGAGAATTCTGCTAATTTTCACCACTAAAGAATATTGTTTAAAGCCAGTTTCCAGGCAGGCTTAGAGGAGACAGAAGGGAGCAACAGGATAGCTTACTTCCGCCTTTGCCGCTCTTCTCCATGCGGTACTGGTAGATGTGCAGAGTGAAGAGCATGTGGGAATTGCGGTGATCCTCCTCGTCGCAGTCCCGTTGGCTGCTGCGACGTGAGGCAATGGCGGCGTCGAGGAAGAAGGCGGCCTTCTCTGCCGTAGGGGCGCGGAGCTCGCTCTGATTCTGAAGCTGCAGGTTAACACAAGGGAGAAATGACCTAGAAACTCCCACACAAGTCAACACTACCAGGCAACTTCCCGCAGCCAACACACACTGAACGTGCTGGCTTCTGAAGGGACCGAAAAGAAGGAGGCGCCGACGGAATGAGACCCTCCTCATACTGGCAGTGACAATACCATGCCCTGCAGGAGCCCCACAGTTGAATCCAGGCTTTTGGGGGTTCTCACTTGGGGTACCTCTGATGGCAGTTGTTACACATAAATGCCAGAAACTGGAAATTGCCCTATGGGCTGGACAGATGCAAATATTTGTTCCTTCATTTTCCCAGAATTTTAAGCTATTTATGCTTATTAAATATTCATTATTTTCATTACTTGCGGTTTTTTTCCCCCTGCATTGCTGGCTCTGGCAATCACTGTGTCCTTCCGATGGTTAGAAGTAAAAGAAAAAAAATTGTGGAAGACACGTCAATCCTAAACTCAACAACTGGTGGAGACTGGCAGGGGCAGGAATATATTTTACCCTTCAGAAAGTGCTAGAAGGAAGCAGTCCACTGATAAATGTGGGAAATAACAGGACTGAAGCTTGTGCTCAGCCCCATAGCATGTGGGGAGCAGCACAGAAGAGAAGCCATTTTCTTGCCCTTTCATACCACAAGCTTATGCACCTGCTCACGAGCCAGGGCAATCCATTAAATAGAACAAGGCAGGTAATGTACATACGTCCACATTTGCTGGACCTCAATCCCAGACACCAGCCTGCTCTTATCTCTCCAAAGTGATAGACAGCCTAGGAGAGCCGATATTATTAACCCCCCATAGCGTTAAGAATGCACACGTTTCATGTCATCTAAGATTAGTGTGTGGAAGGGACATGTGACAGCGCAATCCGATGGCATTAGTTTAGGCAGTATGCAGAGCTTGCCCACAGCCCCTAGGACAGTCTTGTTTTCTCTGGGGTAAAAGCAGCGAGGAAGTCCCATTCTCAGGGTTTGTCCCCCTGCCATGTAACACAGCTAAAAGTTAAGTTTTCCTAAAGACGACAGTGCTCCTGTCTTCTCTTTGTGACCATTAATCAGCCCGAGGAGGGATAAAGCTGAGGCTGTGCGTGGGATGGGGTGTCGCAGCTGAAGGCTAAGCTCTCTCTGGAAAGAGGGAGGCGGGCAGGAAGGAGTTAAGAAGGCAAGCAGACAGGCCAGTCTGTGGGCTGATCTCACTAATGTAAGCAAAAGGAAAATGTGCATACTTGGAAAGGCCCAATCACAGACAGTATGACATATGGTGATTACTCATTTGCTATACACACTGCTGATTTTGTACATCTGTATGGCTATAATATAATATCCTCCCATCATCTGCGGATTTTGAGAATTCAGGTGTAGGACACATGACTCCAGAATGACACTGTTGTCTTGTAAACACACAAAAAGGCATTTTTTCTTGCAGTTTAATTCAGTGTTTTATACTGCAGAGATACACAGATGCCTCACGGAGCTACCTTTTCTTCACTGATCTAAAAGAATTCATTTTGTATATGGCTGCTCTGTCTGTATCTATATGAAAATAAGCAACAATAATGGGATATGTATTATTATTGCTATTGTGCTTAAATACTTCAGCACAGAATTAAGCTCTAAGGAGAGGTTAGCCGTTACACGGTTATGTAACATACGTCTGCTAAGTCAGATCCCAACTGGCCCATCTATCACCCCAACGGGAACTGTGAATACTCAAGTCTCCCATCTTATATTCACTAGACTGCACCCATTACTGGATACCAGCAGATGAGACAGATCTCTTGTGATACTGTAAGTATTTCATAAAGCACCAAAGCCAGGAGTCAAGTGAGAATGAGAACCCTATTTGTTATTTAAAATCAAGACACAACTTCTTAGTCCTCGGGTAGAATGGAAAAGAATGGAAAATATGATCTAAGTATGTCCAAAAGGCTTAAACCACAAAGAGATAAACCACAAAATTTATTACCTGCTATTTAAAATGTCACAATTCATGTCTTTTGTGGATGTGAATCATGATTTCTAGATGCTTGGAGCTGGAAATAGGGTACATGACCCTGTAGGTCTGTTCCCTCCTCCCTCCATTCCCCATCCTTAGATAGGCAGTGCTCTGCAGGTTCTGGATGGAAGCAGCCTTTGCCTTTAAGGTTGAAAGAATGTAATCAAGCTCCATCTTACTGGTTTGCTCCCTCTTCATCTACTCATAAAAAAATCAGATTAGCTCCCTCCCAGACAGCAAAATGAAAGTATTGGCCTTTTTTCTCCTCAAACCAAGGCTGGGGGGGGTGGGGTGGGGGGGCAATAGGGCTGCTGAGACTTTCTAGTGGTTACCCAGGAAATACATGAGCCAGTTACTCACCCCTGCTAAACCTCCAAACCTGAGAAGAGTTTGAGTTATTCTTGGCTTCCCCAGCTCAGGAATTTACTTCTTGGCAGCAATTAATAAGTAGCGATTAATGCTTCCTACAACATCGCTAATGCAAGTGCTATAAATAATGTAGTTTATAAAGAGATAAACAGCCATATTAATGGCCTCCAGCTATTTGTGCAGTAGTGTAAATATTTTAGCTTGTTGTTTTACAGATGAGAGATCACACTTTTTTCTTTTTTTTTTTTTTTAAGAATGAGGTGAATTTTTGTTTGCACTGAGTGTTTTCACATTTTATTGCAAACACAAGCCCCTACTCAACATCAGTTACACCAGAGGTACAAATATTTAGGCCAGGAGAGCAGATGACCCTGCAGCTGCAGGTCATAAAGTTCTTGCATGTTTTAAAGTAAACACTTTCAAGTCTATAAACTTTATGCTCTGGGTAGTTCTTGAATTTGAACCATCTCAATAGCTAAAAAAAAAAAAAAGTCACATTGCTTGTTTCAGTATAAAATGAACCTTGGATTCACCTGCATGCCACAAATGGGGTCTTCACAAAGGTAGACACCTGGGGACTGGCCATCTTGCAGGCTGCCAGTAGCCACTTCTGACAACAGATCTCTCAGATTTTCTTCTTTCCCCCACACTTCCACTGCAGAAATTCGGACCGAGAAGCGGGCTCCTGTCTTCTCTTTGCGTTCATTAATCAACTTGAAGAGCCAGGAGATGGCACAAGGGATTATGCCAAGGTTTTGCATGGAATCATCCTTCCCGATCATGGTGTATGACTTCCCTGTCAGGAACAGGGCGATGGAGAAAAGATAACATCACTCCCAGGACCTTCACAGCCTTCTGCCAGGAGAGATTATCCTGCACAGCCTCATGAAAACACCTTCTTTGCTACAAAAAGGGCAGTCAGCAAGGGGGAAAGATAGGCAGGCAGACAAATAGTACATGGAAAATGGAGGGCATTTAAAACCAACAGATGAAATTTTGAGCTGCTTTCAAAAATCGTTACCTCATGCATTTCCCTGACATCCCCCATTCCCTAGACAGGGCACTGCAGGTCCCTACCATACAACTCTGCAGGCTCTGATGTGGGTAAATAGTGGGGGAAACTGAGCAGAACAGGAGTGCTGTAGTCTCTAAAAATCCCTGCTTTTGATACTGTGAGTGCGGTATTCTTTGAATACCATTTTACTTCAAAGCACTATATTAGGCTTCATACGCTGGGGTTTGGATTGACATAAACCTGGGCCCAGGATCATAAAGATGTAACTTCATACAGAAAAAAAACCCCATGTACATGTGGTCATTTGATGCATAAGTGGATCCACAACAAGAAGTACTTTATCTGGGTCAAAACCTTCCCCTGGTTTGCTTTTATTTGACTCTGCAATTATAGCTCTGGCTTGTCTCTGCTATAAAAGTTTGCTGATTAAGAACAGACACATAGTACTATCTTATACTGCTTTAGGTGTCACTGCATATAATGCTCTTAAACAAGTTTCCTAAAGCTCCTATATTTATAAGCCAAATGACAAAGGTATACATCCTTTCAGGCAAGCACTTGTGGCTCCTTTACCTAGTTTCATATCTTATGTTGAATCTATATGGAAAAAGGTCAGCGAAGAAAACACTTCTATGCATGGGTCTGTGGCAAAGTCTGGGTCTGCCCATAGTTGGTGGAGTGCCCATAGTTGGCAGTTAACAGAGCAACTGCAGAGACTTGTGGCTAGGCCACCTCTCTAACGAACATGTAGCACTTGTGAGACACCATTATCTGATGGCTTTCTTTTCCATCTCATTTGCCATCTCGTTTTTGGCAGGTCACAGGGGGTTAAATATCCAGGTGCTCATCCTAGTGTTACTCCTGCCTGGCCCAGAGGGTCCTTGTGGTTAGTTGGACCAGTGGCCCTGCTCTATTCATTGTACCGAATCTGGTGGCATTGCAGTATTCGGTACTCTCCAGTTTTTGTCACCTATAATTTGGGATAATCATGGCCTGATACAGCTTCATCTTCTTTATCACTTGAAAAACTGAATTATCCTTTTAAGTTGTGTGTGTACGTCTGAGCTTCTTTGAGACAGTAAAGAATGGAGATCATTACACACATACAATACAACCCTCCAGTAAAGAGACAGTATTTTCAAAATACTATTAGATAAGCATGAATAAAATATATGATTAGTCTTGAAATCCAGTTATTTCAAAAGAATAGTGTGTTAATGATGATTCTCTTTTTTACTGTCTTTCCATGAATACCTGAAATGCTGTTGATGCATTTGCAAAGATGGAGTTTCGATCCATTCGTAGCATTCAGTTAACCATTAGAACAGGATTTGTTGGAAACAGAATAGGAAGAGGTTAGTAATGAGTGAATTGTCTAATCAGGGAATAGAATATAAATCAAACTATTTGAGTGCCCAGTCACAGCACTTGAATAGTGCCATCCCAAACATCAAGTACTTGAGTGAATACTCACAGCCTTTACACAGCATGATAAAAGCGGTATTTTGGCAAACAGTCTCCAATACCAAGCACGTTTGCAAAACTGTAGATCAGTGTTGGTTCAATTATTAACAATTCACTGTTGGATCATTCATTAACAATTAACAAGACAGTGCTAAAAATTGCTATAGTAGTCAGGGGGCGGGATGAAGCAACAACTCAAAGACAACTTCTGTTTCAATGAGCATGCTGTCCAACATTTAGACAATATGCAAAGTGAATAGATGTGTGAGAGGTGAAGGTGTAGTACAAGGTCATGCACAGTGTACCACTTTCAAGCACAATTACTATGCACAGACAAATGAAAGGTTTTTTTCCCTAATCTAATGTACTAGCAATCTTGGGTTAAAAATATTCACTTTGCTGCTTGAGTAGGGAAATTTAACAATACCAACCAAGCTTGGCATGGCCAAAGCAGAACACACAGCCATCTGCCCCATTGACCACAGACTGGATCACCTCAGCCACAGTTCCAGCACATACTTCAGCCTGTCACAGGTATTTAAAAAAAAAAAAAGAGAAAAAAGAAGAAAAAAAAAAGACAGACAAAAAAACCCATTAACAATAATAAGGAAAATCAATAGAGCATTTTCACTGGAAAATGGTCATGTCACTGTCAGTGCTCCAGATATCATGTTGAAGTATCAAAAAGTCTAATCCTGCTTGTCTCATTCATGTGACCTATGCTGTTGATGGGAATGACATTACTTGCGTAACCATCTGAAGCGGGACTTTTGCTCTGTGTCAAGTAAGTTACATTTGCTGAAGCATCAACATCCTTTGTGGGGTTAAACAAAATACACATACTGTAAGGAGATGTGGTTGTTTTGTTAGAACTGCCTATTTAGGGGACTTGAAAAATACATTTTTCATTAAAATACAATCAAATATTGAGGAATTTTTACAGGCTTTATTATTTGCCCAAGTATGGACTGAGTTCAAGTCCATTAGCAGGTGGGTAAGGACTATAAGGGGAACAAACAGCCTCTTTGGTATTAGGTAAGTGACATTTCTTAATTTTTTTCTATGTTATTATAAGTTGTCTTAGCTTGTAGCAGCAGTAGACCCCATTCTGAAGACTGTAGCAGTATTTTAAGAAGTACAGCACACAAATTTACCCCAGGCATTCTTAGATTTAAGGTTCAAGCAGGCTGAATGGTCTACAGCGCTTCTGCAGCAACTGCCTATCAATGGTGGGTGAAACTAAATCAGAACTCGCAGTTTAGGCTTTTATGTGAAGCACTTCGCATTTGATAATAAACCATGTAAATTCACCTAGTTCATGGGTGTTTCTAGACTGTGTCTACAATAGAAATAAAATGGGCCAAGAAAGGGACTGTTCACAGGCCAGCCCTTGAACTGCATCCAGGCATCAGTCAGGGAGGTGCTAGCTGCTTGGACCAGAACTAGGTCATGGATTCACCTAATGATACAATCATATGACAGTGCTTTAGCTGGCCCTGTGTCCTAGCTCTGTTTCATTTATGAGTATGAAAACAGCCTTACAGTACAGTTTTCTAATTATACTTTGCAATGTTACTTTACTCTTCTACTACCCTCCTCATGACATTTGGGTAACATATTTCATCAAACCAAGTAAGTCTAATAAAAATAGGAAATCTGAATATAGACATATGAATAAAGATTTGAGGAATAAAATCCCTATCCTCCTACTGTAAACTGTACAATAGAAAGCTGTATAAATAATCCTTGACTTCTTAATGAATAGAGGATTGCATTAGAGAACTGCAGTTCTGATCAGACTACAGCATACAACAAATAATAAGATTTTATAATATACAGTAACTTGTGGATATCGAGGATTTGCCTACTAGGCACCATTTAGCGATGTATTGCATGTATAATTTTAGGAGCAATCATTTACAGTACAGAATAAAGAAAGCACACAATTATCAAGATACAACTTAATAAACTGATTTCATTATTGATGACATTGGTGGACCAAATTGAGCCCTGGTCTAACTCCACTGAAACTATTACTGTCACCAGAAACAAATTTGGCTCTGGTGCATGCTATTGTTTCGAGAACTATTCTGATGATACGTTGCCTACCTGCGATGCATCTTGGGGGAAAACTGCATCGAAAGCAAACATCTTGGGTGGAACCTGGTTGCCCCTTTTCTGGAAAGCACTCTGACCTCCGCAGGCCAACGGGTCATACAGTGTGATTTGCTTCTTACGAGGGTCAACTTTTAAGAAAGAGCTGGACTCAGACGTGTCTCTGGCAAGCGTGGAAGAAATGCGCACCATGACTTTGACCTGTCAGCAAACACACAAAAAGATGACTGCATTTGATTAGTCTATTGGATGCTCTAGACTGGTATGCTGAAAGAACTTTCCAAATCATACTTGCTTGCTGTAGCTAGTGTCTCAGTGGAAGTCAGTGAAGACACAGGAATTATTATAGGCAGAATTTGGCCTAAAATACACAGTGAATAAAGCCAGAACTCACCTCCATCTACTTCAACAAGCAACTTGTGTATTTAGAATTACGAGGTACAACATGGCGTTTTAGTGCTGATGTTAGACAAGTACAATGATGAGGTATTACATCACCTTGTCTTATTCTCAATATAAATTGAAAATTAACTGTACCCCAGTGGCCCAATTAAGAAAGCTGAAAGGTAATCTAGACTGCTAAGCTATTAGAACTGCTGTGGTTTCTAAGAAGCAGTCTGATCAATAAAAGCCCATAAAAGCCAGATCTGTAATTTACACCTTTCTGATTCTACTCCAAATGCAAAAGGATGAAGTGCTCAGTTCTAAGTGTCATCATCAAAGACTTGTGAAAAGAGCCGTGTTTTAATGGTCAGATTTTGAAATTGTCATCAAGGGAGTGGAATGTAATAAGCAATTAAAGATTTGTTAAAACATGTTAGCTCACAACTCATTAAATGGCTACATAATAAGATATTATTCCTAAGACAAAAGTACATCTTCATGGATTTAATGAGGTTACACTGCATCCTTAGCCCAGCTAGTAAGCAATGTAGATGTAAGTGAAACTGATGACAATCCATCCAGCTTTGGTTCTCCCCATAAATTCACCACATGCAGACACACGAGTTCCTGAACTTTGCAGGGCAAACACCACCTCTCCGCCAGCTCTTGCCTCTAGCTGCATCTGCACACACTTTGTCCTAGAGCAGACTGACTTTCACATGAGCCAGACAGAACTTTATCTTAATGCTCCTTAACTTTATGTCACTTGTATCACACCCTCCCACGGTTGGCATGCTAGTGACCACAAAGGGTGACCTTAGCACAGGATGGGAGCATATCTGCTTTTGGAATAGTAGATGCACCCTGGGAGGAGGTTATAGCACTAAAAGTTAGACAAGGCTGCAGTTCCTGTTGGCCTCAGTGGGACTAGTGTTCTCCGTATGTAGATCTCATTTCATGCTGGCCTAAGCTCACTCCACATGGAAATAAATCAGATGTTTTGAGGGGTAAAATCTGGGCAAATTAATTTTTGACACAACTCCTTTGAAGACAATTCAATGAGACCAGAGATTAATTGTTCTTCATGCTTTCTCTATACCACCACAAGCATCTTAAATGATTACCTGAGATATACGCACCTACACTGCAGGCTGGCTAAAGTTATTCTTTTTGCTGTAAGCGTAATACAAATGCGTTCCTGGACAGAACAGCCCCTGGCCCAAATTCAGTAGCACACACAAATCTGTGCAACAGTCTTCAGCAAAAATCACATGCTAACAAAAATAAAGATGGATGCATGAGTGACGGACACTGAACACCAGTAACAGCAATAGATTCTTTGAACTCATTTGGTAATTTGTAGACCCTAGAGTATTCTCCCAGGCCAGCTTCACACCCGTGTAACTCGTTCAAATTACTCCTGATTTACATTACATTGATTGAGAAGACAATTAAAGTCTGCAAAATACATGCCCACTATATGCCATGGGAGCTGTAACTATAGCAAAAACCCAACAAGCAGGCAAGATACAGGCAAACTTCAGTCCTGAGAAACACATATCAAGATTCAGAACTGCATACATAACTGTGGTGCAATAAGCTAGGCAGACCAAAAGAGATTTTAAAACATCTGAGCTAGACATATCTTCTGAGGAGACAGGCAAGTTTGTGATCTGGGAATCAGGCTGAGACTGGGGATCTAGGACCTCTTCCAACAGCTGTGCCTCAGATGCAGTACAATTGTGAACTAGTAATGCAATCTGTTTCATGGTCCCCACCTGTAAAATGGGTTGAGTCACAGCTTACTTCACTGTAAGCATATGGATACATTCAGTCACTACCGGGTTCAGAGGACTGACAGTTGCCATTAGGTAGGCACTCCATTATTAAACATTATTATGCATGTAACCTAAACCAAGGATTCGTGCAAAGCATTTCCCAGTAGTGGTTATGACAGGAGTAAATCAACTAAGCTACAGCAGTAGAAACAATGGGAGACCACAGCCTCCTGCCCTGCTGTTTCACAGTCCTTCATGCAATTTATGGCTGGGGGTGGCAGGGGGAGGCTCAGACTCCGTGCTGGCCCCTGCAGTCCTTGCCATGGGGGAGGCAGCGCGAAGACAGGTGAATGTAACTCAGCCAGCTGTGGGGATAGCACAGGAACTTAATGGACTTAAAAGACTTCAGTTCAATTTAAGGAACAGACAGGCTGAAGATCACAGTGCTGCTCTGGGGAAGGCAGAAATACAGTACAGTTAATTTGAAACTAACTGAGCAGTGAAGTTTAAGAACTCTAATACTTTATGCTTGCAATTTATATTTAAATAAACTGTAAATTGAACTTCTCCTTAAAAAGAAGAAAGCAGGTTTTCTGCTTCACTTCCCATGTGTCATTACTCCTTTAGTCCAATGCTACAGTTTCCCGCTAATCTCTTGTAATTGAAGGGTTTAAGAGATACCACTTGTGATTAATGAGACCACTCAGCCTGCCAGAAATTCTTATTTGAATCCCAGTGATCAGGTCTTGGCAGCGCCCAGCCTTAGACGCACCTCTGACTGTTTCTACAGGGAAACATGAAAGTAGTCTCTCGAGACATGCGCTGTTGGTAAAACAAACAACCTGGGCCTAATTTTGATCTAATTTTACACTCATGCAAATCTGGCTGAACTCAGAAAGAATTACCCTAGCTTAAGAGTGGAGAGAGAGAGAGAGAATAAAAGGTCACTTGCACTGCATCATTACTGTGCCTCTTCTAGGATATAACTTCACTTCTGAATTCTGCTCATCCTGAAAGCATTTTTAAATGTGTTGTCTCCTGTGAGGTCACAGGATTGTATTTGACAACTATTCAATCAAACAGGACCCCCATTTACTTCTCTGGATTTCAGCTCCTGCCTACAAAGATTTGTCCTGCTCTTGAATGAGTTTTACAGTCATTGAATTTCACAGTATTACTCCTGATATGCAAAGCCACAAATGAAAGCACAGAGCTGCACTGTTTAGGTTTCCTCAACAAGGTTCCTTTGTATTTTTGTATATATGTGTTTATTTTATATATATATGTGTGTGTGTATTTAAATTATATACACTATTTTTTAAAAAAATGCATATACATTTTCTGAACATACATAAAAATTTAATATATATACATTTTTCATAAATTTCTCTCTAAATTGTAATTATTTGCACCGAGTTCTTCCTTCATGGGTACCTTTCAGTAGCATCAAAAGAAGATCGAGGGGAACTGCTGTAATATCACTATGCTTCTGTATTTTAAACATAAGCACAGACTTTTTAATCAGCTCTATTATAATTTCAGCTGCCTGAACCATGTTCCTTTGTCTTCTCCTTTTTCATCTAGTCCATCCCTATATACACATCAACTATCTTTTAAAGAGGGAATTTGCTAATTGCAGGATTTTTCCCCAGCTAAACTCAATTTGTGACCTACCATGGGCCTTTTGTTATGTTTTTACTCTGTGGAGAAGGACAAAGGTTCAGCACACTCTGCAAAGTAGAACTGGTGCCAGAGGAAAAAAAAAAAAAAGAAAACAAGAGTCCAGCCCCAGCCACTGACACTCCCATGTCTCCCATGCCCACAGGGGTCTGTCTGGAGGACCAGCAGGGAAAAAAGCACGGATGGTGGGAGAGGTAAGCGGTGTCAAATCTGTATTAAACACGAATAACTACAAACAGGCTAGAATGAGGCAACGCAAGCAGAGATTGGCGCTGGGCATATTATCACTTCCTTCTACTCTTTCCTGTAAGATTTCATTTGGGGTTCATTTATCTAATTACTGCAGGGACAGGGCTAGACAGCTGTTGCTTTGGGCACTGTGTTTGCCGCTATGAGCTGCTTTTCTCATCAATCATCTGAGCAGCTTCTGCTGGACATGTGCTGGGTAGTGGTGGGAGGCAGGAGCTGCAGTGCAGTCGCAGGCAAGACAGGCCAGCGGGGTATTGAGCTGTATTAGCACTCCATCAATGTAATGGCAGTCACTGGCTGCAGGAACAGCCTTACTGGGGGTTAATGAAGGGTAGGTTTTGTAATTTCTCACTCTTACAGTTGTAAATAATGGTGGCAAGCATGCATTTTTGCTGTGGCCAGCCACAAAATACTACAGCACGAGAAAATCTATGACATCCCAAATGCTTAAGCACATACATGCTTTTTCATGATGGATGTAAAGCTAGAAGCCCTTCTACAGTGCCCAGGGAATGTGAAATAGTCTGTTAAGCATTTTAAAGGATCTTTCTTACACATCATGAGACAATTAACTGATCATGCTAACCTGAAATCTAGGAGATTAAGATAAACAGGCTGAGCCAGATCGAGGCAAATACAGAATTGTATGAGTGGACGTTGTTTTAATGGAAGTCTCCTGGTCACATTGGGGGGGGCGGGGGGGGAGGAAATCAAAAAAGTTAAATTATGCAGTGTAAACTGGTCAAGAAACATGTAGAAACAGGCCTCATTCCCCTCTCTTTCTGTTTTCACAAACTCTTGTAGGCTTCAATGCTTCACTTTAGCACAAATTAGAAAACACTCAGGCCTGATTGCTCATGTTTGTTGTGGAAATGCCTGTTAGCTACCTTGGTAAAGCAGTGAAAGCGATTGAAAAAGCAATACCATTAGAGCTTGCAGGTCTCCTCTGTTTCTTTCTTGTGTAATTGCTAAACTTTACCAGCTCATCAACCCCATCCTATACAGAAGTTAAACTAATTTGCACTTCTAGCAATAACGGGAAGTAGTGCAAGTATACTGTACCCAAACACCAATTGTATTTTTCAAAGAACTTGCCCTGACCAGGATTGT